GTGGCAGGTCGGTGTTTCCTGACAGCTCACAGACGGTATTTAAGCCGCCTCAGGAAAGGTGTGACCCCATGATGATAGAACCCGGTCCGTTTCACAGATGACGCTCATCTGGTGAGGTGGCAGTGGTGTGAAAATTGCAAAATAAGGTTAAAAATCTTGCAGCTCTGTGTAATATGGAGTAGCTTGTGGGAAACAGCCTCAGGAGACAGTTAACCCAAATATTCCACATTTCTGAGTTGATGGGTTCTTTGTTGAGCTCTGTTGAAGGAGGTGGTGTGTAAGCTTCATTGAGTAATGACACTGTGCATCTGTGGGGATGAGCTGGAACCCTGTTGGTCTAGAAATGCTTGCCTATAATAGTAACTTTTATTAATAAGGGGAATAATCTTCTTTTGTTCCTGTTTCCATATTGTCTCATTCTGTGATGACAGGATGGATTGAGTTGGAAAGAGCCTTGAAGAACTATCCAGTCCCACCCCCTGCATGGGCAGGGACACCTCCCACCAGCCCAGGCTGCTCCAAGCCCCATCCAACCTGCCCTTCAACACTGCCAGGGATGGGGCAGCCACAGCTTCCCTGGGCATTGTAGTTACTGAGCTGGCTTTTTGTTGTAGTTTATTGTCAGTCTAGGATGCTCTTTAATTTTTAAACCCTCTTTGCACATTTTCCCCAGACTTACTGTATTTCTGGCATGGGAAGAGCCCTGCTGAGCATGATGTTTTTTTTCTGATCCAGTTGCACCTAATCTGATGTGGCTCCTACACTTGGGTTTCTAAGCAGGCATTTTAAGAGTAGTGAGACTCTTGATGTCGGGGGCGAAACTGAGACCAGAACTATAGAACAAGTGTGGGTTGCAAGACAGTGGGCACTGAATTGGTAATCTAGTGAGTTCCAAGTGTGTGAGTTCCAAATACTGTACTTGTGACAAGCTCAGTTTCCTCCTCAGCAGCACAGGGTCATGGTTTGGAAGGTACCCTTGATAGTTATAAAACCCATCAAATAATAACTGAAGAATAAATATTTTCTTACTGTGTAAAGTGAGTTGATTTCACAGGTCTGACTTGCTGAACATTGTGCTGGAATTACCAGACAGTCCATGTGCCAGATAAGAGTTACACATGTGACAAAAATTATGATATCTTGAATATTTTTTGAAAAAGCTCATGGTAATGTAATTTCAAAAGTGAATTTCTCCAAGTCTGGACCCCAGGTGCTGTGAGATTGTCACACCAAGGGTGGCCAAAGGTCAGTGTGTCCCAGTGTGTGTTCTGCACTGTGACTGAAATCCCTAGGACGGAGAGTAAGAAATGGGGAAAGTGATGTGATACTTTTGTTGGATCTTGTCCCAGCCTCCCAGAAATTAAAGCCTTGGAGCTTTCTAGAACAGAGGAATTTAACAAACATCAGTTCTTTTAATTTACTACTTTTGTTCACCAAAACAGCAGAAGTTCCTCCTGCTCCTCAGTTTTCAGCTGTTAGAAGTTCCTCCTGCTCCTCAGTTTTCAGCTGTCTTTTAATTTCATTTGTTGCCTCTGTAATTCATATGTTGTAAGTGACAGTGGAAGTCATTCCTTAGTCAGCTCCTCCTGTGCCATTTGTGCTCTAGGATATCTCCCCACTATCATCTCCAGCCCAGACTGAACAACCGTTTCTTGTATCAAAGCTGCTTTGTATTTTTCAGAATCTTTATTGTGCTTCTCTGAACTTTTGCTAGTGCTTCTATTTTCTTTTGGAGAAGGCAGGGACAAGACTTGTGTGAAACGTGTCCTGCCCTTGCATGATGTGGAGGTGTGTTCATAAGCACTTTTGACTTCAGGGGCACACACAGGTGATATTTCACTGCAGGGCTGTTGTTAAGGTCTCACTTGTACCAACACCTCTCCCACTCATCTTCCATCTGCTCTGCTCAACATTTGTGAGTTCCTGCTGGGAATCTGAAATCTTGTTGTCCTGGAGTAGGTGGATCTCAGTGGCTTTCAGCATGCCAAGGGTGTGAGATGGGGGAGAGCCTCAGTTAGGATTATAAATACCAACTGGGAGCTAGAACTGGATTAGAAATTTTTGAAGGAAAATAAAAGACCTTTTCTCCTTGATTTTTGGTTTTAAACTGATATTTGTTTTAAAGCTCTGTATTAATGGCTTTCTTCATATTGAGGAGCTGGGCTGGTTTTTGTATTCAGTGATGGGCTGGCTGTGCTTAACAGCATGTAGCTGATTCCTGCCCTGTTCTGAAAAGTACTTTTAAGTAAAAGAAGCTGAAAATTGAGCTATTGAAAAGTGATTTGATTTTCACAGAATGTCAGGGGTTGGAAGAGACCTTGAAAGATCAGCTAATCCAACCCCCTGCCAGAGCAGGATCCCCTAGAGTAGGTTACCCAGGACTTCATCCAGGTGGGTCTTGAAAGTCTTCAGAGAAGGGGACAGCACAGCCTTTCTGAGCAGCCTGTCCCAGGGCTCTGTTACCCTCACAGTGAAAAAGGTTTTCCTCATTTTTACATGGGACCTCCCCTGCTTCAGTTTGCACCTGTTGCTCCTTGTCCTGTCATTGGACATCACTGAGAAGATCCTGGCTCCATCCTCCTGACACTCACCCTTTACATACTTGTAAATATGAATGAGGTCACCCCTCAGTCTCCTCTTAGAGATGTTACAGAATCACAGAATTACTGAGGCTGAAGAAGATCTCTGAGATAAAGTCCAGCCTATGACCTAACAACACCACATCAGCCAGACCATGGCACTTAGTGCCACATCCAGTCTTTCCTTAAATACCTCCAGGTGTTCAACCAATATCTGAACTTTTTGCTTGAAAAAACCCAACACCTTAAAATGTCTCCTGACCCTTGGAAGATGTTTTATATTTAATAAGGATCTGTTAAATGACTTCTGTTGATTCTTTCTTTGTCTTTTGACAGGCAAGTCCATGAGGTCCAATCCTACATGGGGCACCTGGAGACTTCAGACAAAGAGTCAGTGCACTGTAAGTAATTAGTGAGACATGTCCTACTCCAGTACTGATTTGATTTACCTTATATCTTTTACCTTGTATGCTTTGTCATGGTTTTTGCAGTCATTATTGGAAAAAATTCAGCTTTTCAGTAATTGTGATCAGCTGGTAACACACATCACCTGTTGGGAAGCGTTGCAGTTATTTTACTCTTTATTTCACCAAGGTGATGTTTTGTTTGAAGGACAGGGTGGAAAAGGCAGAAGAATTAACTTCAAATCATCTTCCTGTTGCAATCCTTTCACAAAATAGCACTTGCTGCAGATGTTTCTGCAGTGCGTTGCTCTGGGAATGCCAGATATTTTTGGTGCTGTTAGATTTTGAAACTCATGGCCAGGTTATGCTCTGGAGACCTTCAACAGAAACAAGATAAAACCTCACTGGTGCATTCATGAGGTGCAGTGGACACGGTGTGGGCAGGACTGCAGAGTCAGGACATCCCTGGGAGAGCTTGTTAGAAGCTCAAAAGCTGAGAAATGTCACAGTTCACCTGTCCTCTTATTTTGCTGTTCCTTAAACATCCACCAAGTGTCAGTGTTCTCCAGAAGATGCCTAGGCTAGTTTCTGGGGAAAATTCTGTGGTGTGCAGGAATTGAAGCAAGATGATTCTATTGGTTCCTGCTTGCATCAGAGTCAGAACCTGTAATTCCATCTTAGGAAAAGTATGTGGAGCATCTAGGTCTGAAATTGCCCTATAACCCTGTGCTAATAAAGTTATTGTAATAAAACACTGTGATGTGTTGAGGCAGGACTTTTTACCCCAGTGCAGACTTGGCAAATGTATTTTGAACCCGTGTTTGAAGCCTTAATTTGTGTGTGAGTAAATTGCTAATGGCCTCATCAGGAACTTTGGAAGTGAAAGCACCCTGCCCTGACTGGATACATCCATACACTTGTTGACTGAGTTCCCTTGCCCTAAATACGTGTGCAGCATGACTTTGCTGTAGAAAGGGCTGTGGGAACTATTGCTATTTAAAAAAATAGGAGCTTGTTGCCTGGTTGTGTTTTTGTGGTGGTTTTCCTCCTCCCAGTACAATGCCAGACTTCTGGACTCCTGTTCACTGGCTGCTGTTTTGAAGCCATTATAAACGAACATAGTGTTTATATAGAATCACAGACTGGTTTGAGTTGGAAGGGACCTTAAAGATCATCCAGTTCCAACCCCCCTGCATAGGCAGGGACACCTCCCACCAGCCCAGGCTGCTCCAAGCCCCATCCAACCTGCCCTTCAACACTGCCAGGGATGGGGCAGCCACAGCTTTCCTGGGCAACCTGGGCCTGGGTCTCAGCACACTCACACTCAAGAATTTCCTCCACATGTCTCACCTCAATCTCTCCCTCTTTCACTTTTCATCCATTCCCCCTTTTCCCATCCCTCCCTGCCCTTGTCCCAAGCCCCTCGCCAGCTTTCCTGGAGCCCCTTCAGGCACTGGAAGCTGCTCTAAGGTCTCCTTGGAGCTTTCTCTTCTCCAGGCTGAACACTCCCAATTCCCTCAGCCTTTCTTCCTAAGAGGGCTGCTTCAGCCCTTGGATCATTGTTGTGGCCCTCATCTGGACATGTTCCAAAAGGTCCACATCTTTCTTGTGAGGGCTCCAGAGCTGGACACTGCACTCCAGGTGAGGTCCCACCAGGGCAGAGTAGAGGGGCAGAATCACCTCTCTGGATCTGCTGGCCACACTTCTTTCGATGCAGCGCTGGAATAGGAATATGTGTTTTAGATATATCTGACAATTTTAGGATTTATGGGGAAAAGCATTCTCTTTTGGCTGAAAAGCAGGAGAGGAAGGAAAGTCCAAGTTTCTGTTGCAGTTTTCATTTCACAGCTTTGGGCATACAGTCCTTTCTTGCTCAGAAAAGCCTCAGATGACCAATATTGCTAGTGTTTGGAGTAGCAAAAGCTGATGTAATTGTCTGCTCTCCTGGTTGAGTTTCTTCGAAGTTTAGCAGTACAAAATGATGGAGAAATTAATTATGAGAGTTTAATTGATTTGTGTCCATGTATGTGAGTTACTCTTTGATTGTGTGAGATCAAAGGGCGAACAAAAGGAGTGGTAAGTGCTGTTTGCTTTTCCAGATTCCGCTGAGTGTGATTTTCTGGAAAGTCCTGGAATGCTGTGGAGTAGTTAGCAGTTGGTTAATAATGCTTTTCTCTTTACCTCTTTAATCTAAATACAAAATAAAGACAAATTGTGACTCTAGGTTTTAGTGGTTATTGATACTGAGAGAGTTGGGGTGTTCAGCCTGGAGAAGAGAAGGCTCCAGGGAGACCTTAGAGCAGCTTCCAGTGCCTGAAGGGGCTTCAGGAAAGCTGGGGAGGGGCTTGGGACAAGGGCAGGGAGGGATGGGATGAGGGGGATGGATGAAAACTGGAAAAGGGAGATTGAGGTGAGACATGAGGAGGGAATTCTTTGGTGTGAGGGTGGTGAGAGCCTGGCCCAGGTTGCCCAGGGAAGCTGTGGCTGCCCCATCCCTGGCAGTGTTGAAGGGCAGGTTGGATGGGGCTTGGAGCAGCCTGGGCTGGTGGGAGGTGTCCCTGCCCATGCAGGGGTGGGACTGGATGGTCTGTAAGGTCCCTTCCAACCCAAATCAGTCTGGGATTCTATGTGCTTTGCTCCCAGTGCAGTGCCTGCAGAAGGCTCATTCCTCTTGCTGACAACTTTTGCCTTCCCTTTGCCTTTTTGTCCCATGTGTAAAACCCAAACCAGTCCATGATTCTGTGATACTGGGTCTGACACTTCAGGACTGTCCTCATGGCTGCACGGATGTGATGGTGCTTCTGTCCTCTAAGGACCAGCCTGTGGATGTGTTGTTTGTGGTGTGTGCCTTCAGCCCTGCAGCTCTTCTTCTTCAAACACTGCCACGTCACGTGGTTCATAGTGCTACTGTCTTTCACCTTCTGTGCAGTTGTTTAAGTTGTGAAATACTGGATTGTGACACAGTTGGAAAAGATGGTTGTTAGTTGAGGAAGGGTGGCCTGCATGTAGTTTTACTGTTCAGTGACTGCAGTAACTGAAAGCACATCAGTCTCCCCAGTTGTATCAATTTTCCACCTCACAGAATCACAAGTCTAGGGGTTTGTGTTGGCTACTGTTGCCCCTCTGCTGTTTCTATACAGATTATCAGAAGCAATTGTGATTCAGATGGTTGCAGAGACTATTATCTTGTGCCCTTGTTTCCACTTGCAAGGGCTCCAGCTCTGTTCTGGCTGAGTCTTTTGGAGCTATTTGTCCAGTCTGCCAGTTCCCGTCCACCCTGAATCCTTCCCATGCTCTGTTAGTCTCCCTTGCCGTAGATGTGGATTATTTGCATTAACTCTGTGCTAACAGTTTTCTGAATTTTAAGTTGCCAGTGCTGTGAGAATCCTCTTGGCTGTTATCTCAGGTGAGCAAATCCTGCT